CCTGGACCTCCCAAGCCCGGGTCGCGGTGGGAAGGATCGGGCCTCAGCGCCCCTTCCCTGACCCGAGTGCAATCCGTTCATAAATAAAACGTACAAATACAGAAAGAAAGAAACCCGACGCATCCGCAACCCCCCCAGGGGGATTTACCCGCAAAGCGAATACAGAGAGGTGTGTAGAGGGCCGTGCTCAGGCCTGCCTGCCTGGCCCCAGGAAGCCTCCCGCACGGAGAGCCGGGGTCCGAGCGAGCGAGCCCCGGAGCGGGACGGGAGCGGGGGGCGGGTCTGAGGAGGTCGGATCAGTCCATGCGATTCGATATGCTCGTTGTCTTCGTTATGGAGGACAGAGCCCGGGAGCTGGGCTGGAAGAATGGGATTTGGCAGAGGACGCGAGGCGAGGGTGAGTGAGCGGCTCGGACTGAGGCCCGGGGAGGGACCCGAGGGAAGAGGTGCCGCTGTCCACCTCCCTCCCTAGTCCCCAACGCGTCTAACACTCGGGGTTCAGCGAAGACTGAGGAGTAGGGACGCCTCTGCTGGCTAAGCTCCTGCTGCTTCCCGGCCAGCTCTGGGGAGGGACCGGCGCCCTGGACGTCTAGGCCGCAGGCCTGGCCCTGGAAGGCTCAGGAAGGGCAGGGAAGACCTGAGTCTCTGCGACGCGATCCAGAGCGCAGAGGAGGGAGGGCACTCCCTACCTCACCTGGCCCCGTCTTCAGAAACCTAACTCGGTGATGAGGTTCGGTTCTGGGTCTCCTCGACCCTATTGCTGGGAAAAAGCCTGGGGCACCCTGGAGGGGAAGGGAGGGAGCTCGGGGTGGGTCTCCCCTCGGGACCCTATTGCTTGAAGGGGCGGGCAAGGCCCCCGGCGAGCGGAGCGGGGCCGGGCCCCCTCCCCCTATTGCTGTGAGGAGGGNGGACCGTATTGCTGAGAGCCAACCTGGCTGACGGAGGCGCCGCCGCCCTAAGCCTGCACAGGGCTGAGCTGCGGCGGCGCGGCCGGCGCCTGGGCTGCGGGGCCACTGCCACCGGCGCTGCCCTTGAAGCAGGCCGACTCGTAGTGCTTGTTAAGATAGGACTTGAGCGCGAAGCTCTTCTTGCAGCGCTTGCACTGGAAGTGCTTGAAGGCTGAGTGCGTCTGCATGTGCGCGCGCAGGTTGGAGCGGTCGGCGAAGGCCTTGCCGCAGTGCGCGCAGCCGAAGGGCTTTTCGCCGGTGTGGGAGCGCATATGGCCCTGCAGCAGCCAGGGCCTGGAGAAGGCCTTGCCGCACACGCCACACTTGTGGCGCAGATCGTGCGTGAGCAGGTGCATGGCCATGGCCGGCATGGACACGTACACCTTGCCGCACGTCGGGCAGCGCCGTGCCAGCTGACTGTCCAGGCTGCGGTGCGTCTGCTTGTGGCGGCTCAGGTTCGACGACGTGGCATATGTTTTGCCGCACTCGCCGCAGGCGTGCCGGCCCCCTGAGCTGCCGGCCACGGGC